CCCCAAAACCCCAAAACCCCAAAACCCCAAAACCCCAAAACCCCTTTTTCCTATAAATTAGCTGAAAATAGAGAGGTTATTATAATTATTTTAGAAATGAAAACCTTTGCTATCATTGCTTTAGTTGGAGTTGCATCCCTTGCTCTCTACTCAATGGCTCCATCAGTTGAATCTGGTGTCGAGACCCAATTCCAAGAGTTCCTTGCCACTTACGGCCAGAACTACGGAACCACTGAAGAGTACAACTACAGACTCGGAGTTTTCAAGGCCAATTTGGAATCCATTGCTGAAATGAACAAGGAAGAAGGTGTTGAGTTCGGTGTCAACGAATTTGCTGACCAGACCCCACAAGAGTTTGCTGTTAGATTCGGATTCAAACAACCAGTTGGAACCAAGAAGTCAACTGCTACTCACATCAAGGCTGTTGAGGGAGAGAACATTAACTGGAGTGATATGTGGACTGACGTTAAGAACCAAGGTGCTTGTGGATCATGCTGGGCCTTCTCTGCTGCCGCTGCTTTTGAGTCTAGATACCAACTCGCTCACGGAGAAACCAACACTGATAAATTGTACTCTGAGCAAGAACTTGTTGACTGTGAACCTCAATCCGATGGATGTGAAGGAGGATTAATGGACTTCGCTTTTGAATATCTTATTGATAGCGCATTCTGTACTGAGCAACAATACCCATACACTGCCAGAGATGAATCCTGTAAGGTAACCAAGTGTGCTGGTGGACCAAATGATGCTGGATTCACTGATGTTCCAGAGAAGGACGAGCAAGCTCTTGTTGATGAACTCATGAGCGGACCAGTCGCTGTTGCTGTTGATGCTTCCAGATGGCAATTCTACAGAAAGGGAATCTTCTCTACCTGTAACGACAACCTCAACCATGGTGTTACCCTCGTCGCCGTCAACTTCGATGAAGAATCCTTGACCATTAGAAACTCATGGGGAAAGAGCTGGGGAGAAAACGGACACATCAGACTTGCTCTCAACAAGAACACCTGTGGTGTTGCCGAAGCTGCCTCCGTCCCAACCTTCTAAACTGCATAATTTGTCATAAATTCTGCTCAAAAATCCCAATTTCTTCCATTCTCACCTAATTTTCCCACCCCTTCCTAAACCTCTCTCTTCTTCACCCTTCTCTCCCTCCACTCCCTCTCTAAATTCCATCACAACCTTAATTCCCTCTAAATCTCCTACATAAGTCATCATTTGGGTGACTTGTATCCCCAAAATACCCAAAAATTTCTTTAAAATACCTCAATAGTACTAAATTCTTAAGGAAATCTTATTTAAAAGTAGTTTCAATAGGATTTTGAGTGGAGGGGTTTTGGGGTTTTGGGGTTTTGGGGTTTTGGGGTTTTGGGGTTTTGGGGTTTTGGGG